CTAAAGAGCCAGAATGAAGAGGGGGCACAAAGCGAAGCATGGAGAAGTTCGCCACGGACTCAGCCGCATACCGTACGATACTAGTAACTCAATAAGCATAGGTCGGGAGAGTCGAGAAGGACTGAATATACGACTTATCATCCTTTTAAGAGTCTCTGGATGACTTCTGTTGAAAAGTTCCAGCAATCAGCTATTCATTCACATCCAACCGATGCGAGAAGTATATAAGACTTCATGCTGCCAAGAAGAAAATGACTATGGACGAAAGAAAATCGTCCTGATTCGAATGTGATGGGTTTCATCCAGTGCACGTCCACAATGGAGGAGATCCACTCAGACCTTAGGTGTACCACCAAGCAGGTCATCATCTATTCCACAGTTTCCGAGGGCTATCTTGAAAAGGCCGTGGTCACCCCAGTCTTCATTCCAGGAGTTCACGGCAAGCCAGTAAGCTTGTCCACTCTTCTCACCCCAACCAATTATCTTCACAGCATGTCCACCGAGATATGAACCAGAAGTATGCTTGTATACACCAGACCTGTAGGCTAGGAAATCTTCGTAAACAGTGAAAGAAGCCGAAACCTGATCAAAGTTAATGTTGGGATCACAGAAGTGGATCGGTCCCACTGGGCCATCGGTCCTGATAGCATTCTTAGCATCGTTCACAGAGTAGTGATAAGGAGAGGATTCCAACATGAAATGACGATCACTGAGAATGATAAACTCGATAAATTTGACTTAGCTTAGCCTTCCTTTACTCTCTCAAAGTGGTCGTATACTTCGGGTTGTGACATTGTTCGACACAGTTGGGAGTCGGGTATAAGCCCTGATAGGCAATGACAGGTACTGCCTCAGCGGTCGCCGGCGGCGACTCGCCGCTACAGCTTACCTTCGGGCATTTGGGGTACTTGGTATCATTGATATGATGAGCGCATGGGGGGAAATCATACGGCCAGCACCCATCGTCTTTGGTCATATCATCTTTCGCACGTAATCTCCACCTGAGCAGCGAAAGAAATTTTCTTTCACACTCTAAGATTTTGCAGCATATGTGAATATCGGAGATCCATT